TAAATGTTACTTATTTAGATGTCACTAATTTTTTTTCGAGTCAGATTCTTACTCTGTCACCCAGGTTGGAGTGCAGTGGCATGCTCACGACTACCACAGCCTTGACCTGCTGGGCTCAGGCGATTCTTCCTCCTCAGCCTTCCAAGTAGCTGAAACTACAGGTATGCACAAAATCACCCAGCTCATTTTTTGATCTATTGTAGAAAAAAGGTCTCACCAAGTTGCCCAGGCTGATCTCCAACCCCTGACCTCAGGCAATCCTTTGTCCTCTACCTCCCAAAGTGCTGGGATTACAGGCATAAGCCACAGTGTCTGGCTAGACAATAGCTTTTAAACATTTGTGAAAGCTATAAACTAAAGTTCACAGTCTAGGCTGTTGATTTACTATTTCTGTTTGGAAGGGTACTCAAGGTGGCAAACCTATTGGAGGGTATTCAAGGTAGCAAACTTACTTATCTGAGCATGACATGAAGACATTAGGTTTCCTATGTAGTTGCCTGAACACAAAGAGACCTAACCATCCAATCTTTAGAACTGATGCTATGACAATGACAAACCCCTCCCCCAAACTCTGCCTGTGCCCAAATGTTCACTGAAGCTTTACTCATTACTCCAGCCTCACCTTTTGTGAAAAATCTTTCCCACCTCCCCAGGTAGAGCAGGGCTCTTGCTTCCCTGCTCTGCTCCCTAACCCCAGACATATTCCTCTAGGACCACACCACTCAAGCCATCAGTCAGTCCTCTGTCTCCCTGACAAAGAACAAAAGAGAGCAGGGCAGCATTCTATTCACTTCCTGACATAATGTGTGCTAAATTAACAAAAAAAGAAAGCCGGGCTCGGTGGCTCAGCCTGTAATCCCGAGCCTTTGGGAGGCTGAGGTGAGTGGATTGCCTGAACCCGCGGGTTCGAGACCCGCCTGGGCAGCGAGACCTCATCTCTACAATAAATCAAAAAATCAGCCGGGCGTGGTAGCACATGCCTGTAATTCTGGCTACTTGGAAGGCTGAGGCGGAAGGATCGTCGGAGCCCAGCAGGTCGAGGCTGCGGTGGCCGGGAGCGGCCACTGCACTCCAGTCTGGGCGAGAGTGAGACTCCAACTCAAAAAAAAAAAAAACAAAAAAAACAAAAAAAGAAGTGCCTAAAATAAATACAGAAAATTGGAAGCAAAAAGTTCTACACAGGCAGAATGGAACTCTGAAATAAAGTTTATCCACTTAAGAGAACAAATACTATAACATTATGCTATTAATGGAAAAAAAAAGAATACAAAAATCCTATGTAATACATGACTATATCTCATCAACAAGGGTACCTGCATAATGAACATTTGTATACCTAACCCTGAATTGTACCCCACATCTTTAAAATAAAAAAAATTAAAAGTTTTTAAAAAATACATGACTATTTTATATATAAACAGTTACAGAAAACATTGCCTTGTTAGGTTGGTGGAATCACAAGAAACTTTTTCCTATTTTACAAAACAATGTTTTGCTGCTAGCATACTTGACAAAAAAAATGACATAAGCAAAAACAAAATCAAAATAACTGACTCAAGAAAGAGAAAATATTAACACATCAATAATTATTAAAATAAATTACTTGGCAGTCTAAGATCTATCTATAGGCAAGATTTAGCAAAGTATCAAAAAACTGCTCTAGAGAATAAAAGAAAAAAAACACCATCCTCATTGTCTAAGACTAGTAAGTAACACACCAGACTGAAGCTGCATAAGGACAGCACAAGAAGAGGAGACCAAAAAGCAAACGTAAAAGCAACAGATATCAAAATCCCAAATAAAATATTAGTAAACAGAGTACAGTAGTTTATCCCATAAATGATCTAACAGGGTATATCCAGAAACATAAACAAAAAACCATTCAACATTTAGAAAATCTATTAATGTCACATACTATACTAATAAAGGGGGGAAAATACGTATGATCAATTAACTAGATGCTCAGAAAACAGTTAATTCAGCATTCACTGACACTGAAAAAAAAACTTCCAATAAATAAGGTACAGGCAAGAACATCTTTAATTTGATTAAACATATCTACCATGTCATGATCGTATACTAAACATCATACTTAATGGTGAAGTTGGCCAGGTATGGTAACTCAAGCCTGTAATCCCAGCACTTTAGGAGGTCAAGATGAGAGGACTGCCTGAGTTCAGGGGTTCAAGACCAGCTTGAGCAACATGATGAGACCTCGTCTCTAAAATAAATGAAAACATTAGCCTCTATGGTGGTGCATGCCTGTGGTTCCAGCTACTTGGAAGGCTGAGGAAGAAGGAGCACCTGAGACCTGCAGGTTGAGGCTATGGTGGCCCTGAGAGTGCTACTGCACTCCAACCTGGATGAGTGAGACTCCAACTCAAAAAAAAAAAAAAATGATGAAGCCTCAAATATGTTGTTAAAATCAAACAACAAGTCATGGAAAGCCACTAATACCACTGTCATTCAACATAACACCAATAAGGTCCTGTTCAATAAACATGAAAGGGAGAAAGGGAGGGAAAGAAAGAGAAAAAAAACTTGGAGCAGTGGTTCACACTTATAATCTCAATACTTTGGGAGGCAAAGGCAAGAGGATTGCCTGAACCCAGGGGTTCAAGACCAACCTGAGTAACTTGGTGAGACCTCGTCACTGCAATAATTGAAAAAATTAGCAGGGTGTGGTAGCATGTACCTGTGGTTCCAGCAACTTGGAAGTCTGAGGCAGAAGGATCGCCTGAGCTCAGCCGGTTGAGGCTGCAGTGCCCAGGAGCAGGCCACTGCCCTCCAGCCTGGGTGACAGAGTGAGATTCCAACTCAAAAAA